CTGTTTATTAATTTTTACAAGCTAAATAAGGTAAAGTAAATTAGGTAGAGAAATAATACTTTAAATCCAGAATCATGATTTATTAATTTCTTTGTTCTGTGTATAGAAATGAGTCAGAAATATGCATTTACTCTGGGGCAAAATGCAAGTATTAGTTGTATACCTAGAGTTAAAATGGTATTCCTATTTTCTTATAATGTGATCCAAGTGGCTCCAGGCCTGGAACATGGTTTTCCAAATCCTTAATCTTTCCACAGCTTTCCCATTAAAGAGTTGTCAATAATTTAAAGTATAACAATTAAAAATAATTTTAAGCAATAAATTCATATTCCCTCACTTTACATATGAAGTGAAAGTCAGAGAATGTTAAATCATAAGATGTTTTGGGAAAGTTATCAATAATCTTTTATTGAAAACATGACCTAGGGGGAGGATATAGCTCAGTGGTAGAGTGCCTACCTAGCATGCATGAGGTCCTGGACTCAATCTCGAGTACCTCCATTTAAATAAATAAACCTAATTACCTCCTCTTTCCAAGGAAAAAAATTAAAAACAAAAAACAAAACAAACAAACAAACAAAAAGACTCATCTTTGCTGAAGTCAAAGTTTCAGCTAACAATTAACAATAAAATACCAATTTCCTTCTGATTTTTCTGATTCCAGAAGTAAAATGTAGCCTCCCACAGACTATGAATGTAATCCAGAAGGAACTGGAAATGAGAAAAGTTTATCACTATGGAGATAATGTAACTTTGGAGTGCGAAGATGGGTATACTCTGGAAGGCAGTCCCTGGAGCCAGTGCCAGGAAGATGACATATGGGACCCTCCTCTGGCCATATGTACATCTCGTATGTGCAGTTGCAAGGAATGTAGATCCTTCCCAGTCATGATCACTGTTCATTCATTCATCCATACTGTCATTGAATGTGGCATGTGGAAGTTTATGGCATGTGCTAAGAGCTAAGGAGTGCAATGAGAGCCCCTAATTGTTCCCCCAAAATCCTTAGCAGTGAGAATAAGGCAAGCTTTACTCCTCGCACTTCTCAACCCATTCATCTCTCTTCAGGGCCCCCTCTGAACCTTTTATGTCCATATCACTCTATTGTTAAATGCATTGTACAGTAATAATTTGATTACAGCCTGTGGGCCTTAAAATTTAGCAGCACATTAGTGTCATAGCAGGCCTTCAAGAATGTTTTCAGCATGAGTCAGGGAGCACCCTCAAAACTGCAGAGACTAGCTGGTTGGTCTCCCTCATTGGTGTAGGCTACAGGATTTTAACATAGTACAGTT